GACTTTTCTCTCCTGTTTTCCTTCTTTTTCCCTGCAAATGTATCACTTGAGGGAAATACCTTTTTAGTAAAACCCTTTCAGAGTGCTGTTTCTTTGGCAGGTCAAAATGCCTTGTGACAAAATGTCTCCCATGCTTTCAGTGCATGGGGATGTGGACTGAACACAGGAGGCTTGGGGGAGATAGAGCCAGCCCTGAAAAGAGCAGGATTTTCCAGCAGTTCCAAGCTTGCATAGCCCAAGACACTGTTCCTGCAGGCTGTGCCACTTGGCTCTGGTGGGTGGGGGCCCATCAGGGTAGAGGTTGCAACAAAGGAGCTGGATGACACATGGCTGGTTCTGGGCACAGAAAGGGGGAGGTGGTGGGAGAGATGGGGACCCATCTGCATTCCCAGTAACTGTCGGTGTACTCCCACTGATCCTGTCATAGAGGATCCCACATTCAGGCTGGCTGTGCTGTGCTGCTCCGTAGCCTGTGCCTTCGAAGTGGGTAGGATGGATCCTGAGGGAGTGGGAGGGCAGAGTGGCTGCCCCCAACATTGTTAGAAATGCCTGTGCTCTTCCAGCAACTCTCCAGACCCACCTTCTTCGCCCGCAAGTTTGAGTCGACGGTGAATCAGGAGGTGCTGGAGATCCTGGACACACACCTCTATGGCAGCTACCCCGCCAACACCCCGGCCCTCAAGGCCTACTGGGAAAACGTCTATGACCGTGTCGATGGGCTCGGCGGTCTCACCGATGTCACCCTCACCTTCTATACAGCCTTCTCCAGGCTGGGGCTCCACAAAGCCTCATCCACGCCGGCAGCCAAGGCTGACAAGCTCTGCAGGTGGGGTATTTTCTGTGGTCTCAACCCAGGCTCCAAATGGAGGCCTTTATTTTGTGCTGGAAGTATGCTTATGCTCAGATATGCAATCTCTCTGTCTATCCAGATTTGAGCCTCGAGGCTTCCCCTCCAGTGTGCACTTATATTTCTATGACGACCGTTTCCAGGGTTACCTGGTGATGCAGGAAGTGCAAAATTTGGCAACTGGGCAGACAGAATCCTTGGAGGTGTGGATGATGCCCCAAGGAGCTCTGAAGCTGTCAGGTCATGGAGGGCAGGCAAACCGCTTGCAGAACCTAGAGGTAAATGCGGCACTTTCCTTCCTGGCTTTCCCACACTGTGCTGCCATTCCTCCTCTGCCCCACCTGCATGCCATGGGGACAGAAGGGACACAGAACTGCCATTGTGTCTGAGAACAAACCTTTGTCTGGGAGTTTGGTTTATTTGTGAGGAGCTGATCGTTGGTGAATAGGCCTTCAGGGGATCTTTCAGAGGCAGGTGAGATCCAGTGCCTGCAGCTGCAGGAGGCTTTGCACAGCTGAATTAGTGTTGGCACGTGATCCACGGAGTGTCCATTGCTTTGGATGCCAAGGTTTATGTGTTCTCTGTTTTGGGGAGGTGAAACACAGAACCTCAGCTGATAATGTCTCCTTGCCCAGTGTCTCATTGCTTGTGCTTCTTGTCCCTCCAGGTGGGCACAGAGTGGGACCCCAAGGAAAGACTCTTCCGCAATTTTGGAGGCTTGATGGGGCCTTTTGATGAGCCAGTGGCCATGCAGAAGTGGTCACGGGGCCCCAACCTGACGGCCACGGTGGTGTGGATTGACCCCACCTATGTCATTGCTGCCTCCTACGATATCACGGTGGATGCTGAGGCAGAGTTCACCCAGTACAAGCCCCCCCTCAACCACCCCCTGCGCCCTGGCATCTGGACCATCCGCCTCCTCCAGTTCTGGGAGCCTCTGGGGGAGAACCAGTTCCTGGTGGTGCCTCAGACCTTTAACCGCAAGCAGCCTCTCAGGAAAGGTGAGGATGCTCTGGAGTTTGGGGCTGTATGAGAGGGTGTCCCTGTGGGCAGTCCAAAGTGCTTTTCCCTTGTGTTGGCCCCTGGGCTGCAGCTGATGACCAGGCTGGAGCCAATTTTCCACTGGTGCCCTTTGCCCATGTGAATCCTTAGACTGGGCTATCCTCTTGGCAGCTGTGGAGAGCCCATTGGCCCATGTCAGTCAGATCCTTCCTGCAGCAGTGTCCTTTTCCTTGTGCCAGATGGGAGCTGGGGTTGCAAAGGAATGGGGTGCTGTGCCCCAACTGGAGTTGGGGGTAGGACATGCAGGGTGCCAGAATGTTGCTGCACTGCTCATCCTCACTCTTTTCTCTCCCTGTCTTTCCCAGATGACAGCAACTGGCTGCATGGTGGCCCCCCCCGTAATGAGTACATGGACCAGAACTTCCAGGGCCTGGGCGGGATCCTCAGCCTGCCGCGCTCCGAGGCAGCAGAGGAGGATGCGGCGCAGAAGGCACGGCTGACGGGCAAGGAGCTGGAGGACTGGGCAGATGCTGCCATCGGCACCTTCTGGTCCGCAGCGAATGTCTGTGTCAGCAGCCCCTCTGCCTGCGCTTCCCTGGAGACCTGCAGCAAAACCTCCTGGAGCTCCCTCTCCCCAGACCCCAAATCAGAACTGGGGCCCGTCAAACCTGACGGGCGGCTGAGGTAGCAGGAGCAGCCTGAGGGCAGCCTTGGGAGCAGGGAGCATCCTCTGTTTCTGATTTGGGGGGTGTCTCCGGACCACATCACCCTGTGCCATTTGCACCGTAGTCACTTGAGGAAGAGAAAATGGGAACCTCCAGGCAGGGGAGAACCTTCTCCTGTGGGGTATTTTGGGCAGAGGGAGAGGCGTGAGGTGGGTCTTGCCCATCTCTGCAGGAATGAGTCCTTGCTGGCCAGGGAGAGCATGCTGGAGTGCCCATCCCTGTGGGGGCATGGCAGGCACCTGGGAAAAGCTGTGTGTTTGTTACTCCAGGCCTTGGAGCTTCAGGAAAGGGTGATGTGGGAGGGGAGGGATGGCTGGTGGGTGAGGAAGGCTCTGGACCAGCTCAGCATCCTGCCCAGCCCCGGACTAGAACTTGGCAGGATGGACCCTTGTTGCTGGCTATTGCCCTAGTGGGCTGATGAGGGACTGGGGATAGGCAGAAGCAGAATGGGTCAAAACCTGCCATGTGCACAGAGCTGCTGCTGTCTTAGGGTTTACATCTCATCCTGTCCGCCCCAGCCCTTTAGTTTGTATTTTTATAAATATATATATAGAAATATATATGATGCAAAGTGCAATAGAGACAAGACCCCGCATTGGCCGGGAAGTCCCTGTGTCTCCATTTCCCCTCAGACTGTAACATACCTTGTTCCCTTGGGTGTCCTGGTACTACAGGACAGGGTGCTGGGTCGTTTACATCCTTTTTTATTATTATTACTATTATTGTTTTGCTGTTTGCCCATTTCCTGCTGAGGGCTGCTGGGACCTGTAACCTGTTGGCCTTAGGGCAGGGTTGCCCCCAGGTTGTGGGGCAGCTGCCCAACTATGCCAAATGTCTGGAGCCCTGGTGTGTTGTGCAGCAGTGAGCGGGGAGTGCTCAGTGTGTGGTTCAGGTCCAACAAGCTGCGCTGTAGATCCTGCCACTTCTGTCTCCACTTCAGCAAGAGGACGCCCTGATCCCCTGCCAAAATATCATCCACAGGCCGATGTCCTGCTGTGGATGAGCCGTGCCTGGAGTGCTGCCCTGTGCCACAGCTCCTTGACCCAACTTTTTCTTTCCTCCCACGTCAGCAGAAGCTTTCGAGACCTGGCTGTGCTTCCCTGGGCAAAAAGCAAAGCGGCGAGGCGAGGTCTGGCCAGCCCCATCTTCCCTCCGCTGTTTCTGCTTCCCACTGCTCCAGAGGGAAGAGGCGCCACCTCCTCTTGGGAAGGGGTGCAGTGAAGCATCCCCCTTCCCCCCCTTCCCTGCAGTGCCCCCAGGATGTCCCTGGGCTCTGCCTCCAACATTCTTCTCTCCAAGACTGATGCTGCCTGGAGAAGTCTAGGTTTGGTTTCGTCCTGGGAAGACACCTCACAGCTGGGGACAATCTGGAGTCCATCTGGCCCAACCCTCTGCTCAAAGCAGGGTCTCAGGAGCTGGTGGGGTTCTGCTGTCCATGGATCTGTGCCATCCTAACTTTTCTCCCATCTCCCAGCTCTCTCCGCCCAGCAGGTCTGACACTCCCAATCTCCAAATTTAAGGATGTGGGTGTTGCAAGATGTGTACTGTAAAACGGAGGGGGCTGAGACCCCTGTGTGTGAGGGCAGGTACCTGCTGGCACTCAGCCCCCCTGTCCTGCACTCACTTCTGCCTGGGGTGCTTTGGGGCAGTGGAGGAATGTGGGGAGAGAAGGGCCGCACACGGGAGGACGCCAAAACTCTGTGTCAGAACCATTATGTAAAATTGTCTTAAATATGCAACATCACCACAAATACATCTCTGTCTCTACAGTTTGGTGTGTCTGATTTTTGTGGTGTTACGGAATTGGTGGAGGGTGGGGGAAGTTTGGCCGTACCCGGTGAGAGTGTAAATCCTTCCTGGGCACCGGAACAGGGGCTGTGAGGGTGTTGGGGCAGGGTCGCCTTCCTCAGATGGGTGATGTGTAACCCAAAAGCAAGCTTGGTGTTTTCAAAGCCTGTGGCTGGAGATGAGATGAGAGCTCGGGAGTGACCCGGTTACACCCTGCCAGCGGTGCCCTGAAGGTACCCAGATACTTAGCGTTGACATGGCACTTAATTAAGGTGTTAATCGGCTAATAGCGAGCACCTCCTGCTGCCTGCGGGGCCAAGCCCCGTGCGGCACAGGCCAGCTTTCCCTCTGCAGGAGCGGGGCAGCGCTGGGGTTGTCCCCTGCCCGCTGACCCCGGCAGTGACCCGCGGCTTGGCACGGCGGGACTCTGCTAACCGCGGCACGAGGCCGGGGCACCCGCGGCTGAGCCCGAAGGGGGAGCGCCGGGAGCCCCGCGGCTGAGCCCGAAGGGGGAGCGCCGGGAGCCCCGCGGCTGAGCCCGAAGGGGGAGACCCGGGAGCCCCGCGGCTGAGCCCGCTCGCTCGGCCCCGCCCCGCCCCGCCCCTCGCGGGCCGTGGGGCGCGGGCGGCGGGCAGGGGCTGCCGGCTGCGGGGTCGGGATGGCGCAGCCCGCAGAGGCCTCGGGCCACACGGCGACCGCCAGCGCCAGCATGGACAACAACGTCCTGGCCATCGTCATCGCCGCCAGTGAGTGGCGGGCGGGGGCTCCGGCGGTGCCGGGAGCGAAGCGGGGGCGGCCGCCGGGCGGGATCGGCCTCTGCCGGTGCCTCCCGGGCTGTGCCGATAAGGCGATACCTGGGGAAGGGCAGGGGAGAGGTCGCTGCAGCAGCCGGCCCGAATTCGGGGGTCCCCGCTGTCTCACGGGATTGTGGCCGGAGCGGAGCGGCGGCGGGGGCTGGCGGTGCGGGTGGGCTCCGCAGATCCGCGGGTGGCCCGGGGGGGAGCCGCGGGTTCCCGGGAGATCGGAACACTGGCGAACCGGCGCCCTGCCGTGGTGCTGAGGGAGCCGAGGCGCCGGGCGAGTGACGGTGGGTGCCGGTGCTGGTCCCCACGGGGCGGTCCGGGATGGGGTGAGCCCCTCCTGCCTCTGCAGGTTGTTCAGCGTCTGGTAGGGAGAGAGATGCTGGGCACAAAGGGGCTTTAGCGCTGTTGAGACGGGCAGCAGGTGGAGTCGGCTTCTCAGGGCTTCTCCAAGAGGCAGCCGTGGGGCGAGAGCGGGCGGCAGGAGGAGGCCCGCGAGCCCGTCGAACCACCGGCTCTCTCGCCTCGCCCGTCTCTTGGCAGCGGTGTCCACCTCCGTCTTCATCGTGGCGATCCTCATTCTGCTGCTGCTCTTGTACCACCGGGACCCCATGTGCTGCCAATTCCTCTGCTCCTGCCGCCTGTTCCAGACCCCCAGCCAGTATGTGAGTGTCCTCAGAGTCCTTCCTCTCTTTCCCCTGCTCACGAGTCCCCCGAGCTCCTGTTCCCTTGTGCTGGGTCTGTGGGGCTGCACTGCTGGGTTACTGTCCTGCAGCCTGGCTGGGATTGTTGATGGACATGGGTCCTCCAAGCAGAGCTGGGCTCTGCCACCTCCTTGCTCCCACTCTGTCCAAGAGATCCATCCATCCACCCACCCGGTCCTGCCTGGCTGTGCCATTGTGGCTGTATCTCCAAGACCCAACACTAAAAGACTTCCCTGCTCTCCACACAGCTCGGGAGGGAGGTTCTCCTCCCCCTACACAGTCATGTGTGGGGTCGGGCTGTGCTTTATAGGAAGGGGCCCAGCAGGGAATGGAGCTGGAAGCTCAGGGCAAAGGCAGACAAAGCCACCCGCATCCCTGACAACTGGCTCTCTTGTGCACAGCTCCTGGGGAAGGAGCAGTGAGACACAAAGCCCTTTCGCTTGCATCTGTAATTTCCTAGGGCTGGCTTTCAGCTGGGGAAGCTGATGAAAAAAGAGCAGCGTGTGTAGCCAGTGTTGCTTTTGTGGCAGTAACTGCCTGGGGAAAGCTCAGCCTACAGAGCTGCAAGGATGGCTTCTGAGGGGAGTGCTGCAGGTACCACTTTGCAGTCCCTGGGAGAAGAGTGGACATTCAGCCTCACTAGCAAGAGGTGGACAGACTAGTGCTATGAAAGGCAAATCTAACAGTCCAGCACTGGCTGAGAAGTCCCCATCAGAAATCACAGTGGAAATAGGCTGCACTGATGGTGTCCTTGTCTGATTGTCTCCACTTCTTTCCCTCTCTTCCCTCCTGTTGCCTGCCCATGCCACACATTGGGAGCAGGCCCTGCTGCTGTGCTCCCTTGCCCTGTGGAGCTGCTCTCTGGGGCAGTAAGAGATGCTCCCTGAGCTCTGAGGCGGAAACTTCAAGCAGGCATCTTGCCTTTAGCAAAGGACTGTGCGGAAAAATAGATGCAAAGAATTATGTAAGGAAAGGGAACATATAACGTATTTCCTTCAGAAAAAGAGAAGCAGTTGTAGTGTGTGAGGCAGGAATAGTTGCACTGGTTTTGCTCGTGAATTATTGAACAAACAGTTGGGTGCTATTTTCCTGCAGCTTCTGTAGTTGTGCTGTAGGGCCAAGACAAACAGTTCCTTGCTTGTTACGAGCAACAGTAAATCCTCATAGTCCTCCCTGCACATCCCTGGTTGCTCTGGCAGTCTCTGGGCTGGTTTCTGCTGGCAGAGATGGGGTTTTCCTTGAGCAAGGTGCAGCCATGGCTCAAGTCCTGGCTCTGGCTCGAGGAGCTGTTCTCTGTGAACAGGATTTCTGCTCTCTGTTGCTCAACACCTTGACAGGAAATCCAGTTTAACTGGAGTGAGACAACTGGGGAACAGTACAACTATTGCCCTATGGATTTGCTTGCTGCATGATCCTGAAAGGTCAAGCTCAGTAGATAGGAGCTAACAAATTCTGTAACTCTGAGCATGTGATGGAGCTCTTATCTACACCAGCAGAATAGCTGAGTTGTTTTTTGTTGTACCTCAAAAAGAGATGGTTCTGCTGATTTTCAATAAAACCCTGCCCTGGGGCCCAGACTGTCCCTCTGGCTGTGCTCTGCTCCAGCTGGCTCCAGCCCTCGGAGCAGACCCTGCGCTGCCTGGGAAGATGTCCTGGAGCAGTTGGTGTCACTGAACAGGAAGGGGCTGCTGCCAGCATGGAGGGCTGCAGGAGCCACATGGGCAGAGGGAGCAACTCTTCCTCTGCCAGGGTCCTGCTGTCCCATGAGAGCTGGTTGAGCTCTGCTCTCTGCTGGGAAGGATGGGAGGGATTTTGGCTTTGCTCATGTCCTCCTCATTCCAGGACCGCCCCCCGCCCTACTTCAGCAGCAGCCAGCAGCTGGTGGGACCCCAGCGTGGAGCCTCACGGCTGGAGAGCAGTGCTGAGAACCCCGGCATGCAGGTGATGGCAGGCTCCCTGCTGGGAGCTGCGCGGGAATGACAGCAAAGGTGCTCAAGGGCTTGGAGAGACACTCTAGTTATGGAGTTTGCCTGGGGCAAAAGGTGCTGGGCAGAATCTTCTGGTGCTATCCCACAGCTTTGGCAAGTGCTGCCAGTATGTAAAAACCCCGGGGGTAGGCGGCATGTGGAGGGAAGGAATATTGCAGAGGATACCACAGTGTCCTGAAGTGTTTGTGCAGGAAGTGCCAATGGTAGATCCTGGGGGCTTTGGGATCCTGCAGCGCAGGTCGTGTGGTAATTGCCCCCTGGGAGGGTGGATATCCTCTCTGGGTGTTCAAAGGAGCCCACAACTACCTACAGCTTTGAACCCTGAATTAACTCAAGGTCGCAGCAGGACATAAACTTCTAGTGATGACAGCCACCATCACACTGACCCTTTTTGGGGATGGACGTTTCTAGGGAGACGAGCTCTTCTGTGTCGGACCCCCCAGCACGTACCAGCTCCCGTCCTGGGAGCAGCCCCGCCTGCCTAGCTACGAGAGCGTGCGGAAGAAGGATCGCCAGCGGGAGATCCATCAGATGATTGCTGACAGGTTTGGGCTGTGGGCAGAGCCATCCCAGGAGGTGAGTTCCCCTCCCTGCAGTGGGGGGCTGGCAGAAGCCCATGGCAGTCACCACTGTGGTTCATATCTGTGTCTTGCTTCACAGTTGGTGGTAGCTGAGGACTCTGTGCTCTGTGGTTGCTTTCCTGATAGCTTTTATCTCTGGGAAAGCACAAAGTGTATCGGGAGGCTCCTTTGGTGTACATCTGTGCTGGTTAATGAACCATCTCCCCTCCCCCCGTGCATTTGCAGAAATGCCTGTACCAGGAGGCAGGGCAGAGCCCCACAGAGAAACGGCAGGCTCCTCAGATCACCTGCTCCATACAAGTCCAGGCTGGGAGTGTTATTTTTGGATCTCTAAGGCTTTCATGGGTTCTTGCTTCTTTCTCCCTGCAGGACACTCCTGGGGAGATGCCTTGGTATTACCTTGAAGTGTTTATGGCTTATTTATGAGCAGGAGGCTTTGCTTGTTATGATATTTTAAGATTTGCACTCCCACAATGAACAGGGAAACGTGAGTGCATCCTGCCAAGTAGGTCCTTTGGCAGCATCCTGAGATGCTCCCATTCAGAGACCTCATTGTCTAAAGCAGGACAAAAACTTTTGAAACCCTGAGTAAAGCATTAAAAGTTCACTGATTTACCTGGATTTTGAGCTCTTAAAGTTGTACCATAAAGCCTGGCATATTTAGCCCTTGCCACTCCGTGTTTGGAGCTGTATCTAATGACACCTGCCTGAAAAGTTTCAGCTTGATATGGTGGGAGGTGTCCCTGCCCATGCAGGGGCTGGAACTGGATGATGTCTAAGGTCCCTTGCAACCCAAGCCATTCTGTAACTCTATGAAACCTGGGCATTGAGGGCACAGGAGAGTAAAGCTCCAAAGACAAGTAGTTGAGGAACAGCACTGGAAGCTCTTCCTTGTCATGCCACTTCCTGTCACCTGTGGGGAGAAAGCTAGCCCAGCTCTGCCAAAAGAAATGTGACAAGGCCTGGAGGCTCCTCTCTCTGTGCAGTGAGACTTGCTGCCAAAACCTGGGTACAACACCTGGTTTGTAGGTACTTGTGGAAATCCCAGTAATTTTTCTTTAGTCAAGGGAAAACAAATGACAGCCCTCTCCCAACAGAAGTCAAGTTTGTTCTGGCCTTCTGCCAAGTCCTTGAAGGGGAACAGGGAAGAGCAGGAACCTGGCACAGAATGTGAGGGGAGAATGTGTCTCTCAGCAGGTTTGTGCCATGTTCCAGACTGATGCTGTCATCTCCAGGTGTTCCCCAGCCTACAGCTGGCTGTGCTGGGGGACTGTGGGGGTTTAATTTCAGGCTGGTGGCAGTTGTGAGCCTTTTCATCTGCTCTGTAAGAAGAGGTGGGATAATCTCCTAGTTATTTCTGATCCTCCATAATGCTCTTCCTCTCTCCTTAATAGATGCCACCTCCTTATGAGCATGCTCTGAGGCATCCTCCAGCTTTCTCAGGAACAGGAATAAGCTCAGAGACCTTGGACAGACATGGTGTTCCAGACCCTTTCCATGCCCCCTTCAGCTACCAAACTCAGCGGAACACTGCGGTGTAAGGCCTTGGCCTCAGTGTACTGCTGCTTCCCGTGCTGTCAGCAACAGAAGTGCCTGGGATACCATTTTCCTCCACAGTGAATGGCCAAACCTTCACCCAGATCCACAATCAGCTGAAACACAGGCAAGACCAACCCAGCCATTAGTGACATCCCTCTTGCAGCACAAGAACAACCACAGAGCCATTGCTGGGTACTGCGCTGAGCAGAGGAACCAGGGACATCTGCTCACTCTTCTCTGGCAAACACCAAAGACAAAGGTCCAGCTGCTGGAGCTGCACAGGGCAAAGCCAAGGAATGTCTGCTAGGCCAGAGCTCCTCAGGAGCAGCATTTCATACCTCTGTGAGGCAGCACTGCTGGCTGCACAAAGGATCAGACCTCAGGCACTGGTGGTATTGTGCTGCTTCACCTGTTCTTAGGTTATCAGGTGTTTTACTGTATCTGGATTACCTGCCAGGTGGAAATCCTCACCTGTGAGTGGCAGAAAGGATGGGCTTTGGAGCACTGCTGCATGCTCTGGCACCAGCGGCCTCTGTGACTGACAGTGGTTCTGTACAGAGCCCACACATGGATGTGGAGAGGCTCCATGGGTTATACCCAAATACAGACCACCAAGATGAACCACGGGACTGGATCTGCAGGCTGGGAAAGGACAGATGCACGGACTGAACAGCTGGAGGTCTACATGAAGACTGTGAAGCACAGGTGGACACATGTGCCTGACCCAGTTCACCTGGTCTTCTGCAGAGCAGAAGAACTGTCTGAATAACGTCAACACCAGTGTCCTTACACTACTGATTTTGATAACCTGTTTTCTACTGCAGAGTCAATGTTTCAAATTGTTTACAAACCTGTAGATAAAATGAGATCAGTTTGGGCACAACACACTGGGGCTCCGTTATTTTGAGCAATACAAGCTCAAAAATGTCACATAATGACTCAAAGATAAAAGGATGAGTATCCTGGATAATGCTTTATCATACACCTCCAGCTGCTGAGGCTTCAAATACTAGCCCAGATTAGGGCATCTTGCCAGGCCCCCTGAACTCAGTAATGAGTTACAATTAGGCCTGTGAACTCACCTTACATGGCACACTCAGATATTTAAGTTAATCATTGAGGTGAGTGAGCTAGAGACAAAATCCAGCTTCCGGGTACACAGCATACATGCATGTGGAAAAGGATCTGTTCTGCAGTATTTTGAATTAAGGTACAAACAGAACAGTAATGACTAAAAATGAGCAAAAATAGAGGGAATTATTAGCAGGACAAGTACTGACACAAGAGTGATTGTAGAGGGAATTCATCCAATGGCACAACAGACCAGGCTCTCCAGATACTACATGACCATGGTAACACATTCCATGAGCAGCCAAGATCTTCAGCTGCCCCACAGCATTTATTAAACACTCTTAAAAATGCCAGCTGGTGATCTCAGTGCCTGAACACAGATCACAAGCACTTCAGGAACAAAACCAAGTCCTAAAACAGTATCTTCAGAGCCACTCTTGTCCTCAGATGCCAGCACAGCTGTAGTGGTCTGTCCTTTCCATCTGTGCCCATGTGACACAGCAGGTTCACAGCATGGTGACGAGTTTGAAGCTTCCCACCTCTGTGGTAGGGACAACACTGATAAAAGTTTTATAAAGGACTGCTCCTTTGGGCAGCTGGCAGATCACATCCCTGCTCTCGCTGCTGCGGGGTGGGGGCACGTAGACCTCTTTGGTGTATCTCACAATCCCATCCTCCAGGGCATAGAGTGTCTTGTTACGGCCCATCCCCACCTGGGAGAGGATGAGGAGCATTAGAAAGGAGAGGTTGGACATCCACAACTAAAGCAGATCTGATCATTGGTCTGCCTTGTTTGATATCCTGGCTTCAACAGCATCTGTTGCTTTATTTTTTAAAATAAAACCACACAACTTGCTTCCAACAACCAGTTTGCAATGGTGCTCAGTATGAGACATGAGACACCCGTTCCACCCTGAAGCACAAATGCCCAGTCAGGTCACAGAAGTGTTCTGGGATATCAGTTACTTGCAGACCTTCCCTGAGTCCCATGAACACGGGAACCTGGCATCACCTGACAGGTGAGGCTCTGAGCAGACTGTGACTAATACCACAGAACACAGGGATGAGCATTCAGAATGAGACTGAAAGAGAGGAGGCAGTGAGTGTGGCACTCTGGGGGGGACTGCTGTTCTCTGAGAACCAAAGAGAGAGGAAAGGCCTTACGTGAGCGCCGGGATGCCAGCGGATCAACCGCTGCGTAGCCAAAATGTTTCCTGCATGGACAAATGCACCTGCAACAGAGTGACACAGTCAGACTGCAGAGAAAGAGCTTCCAGAGCCCTGGCAGAACACAAATGATTCCAGGATTACAAATCCCAGCTTTCTGTAGGCATTTTCTAAGGAAAAGTTACTTCAAATGTTAAAAGCATCTGAACGAAAATGCTGTTAGCAGGAAATAAAAGGGCAATGGCTAGACCATGGCAAAAAGTCAAATCTCTGAAAAGATTGCTTCTAGGGTACAAGTTTTTTTCTGGCTGCTGAAGGCATTTGTTTTATTACATTTACATTGATATGTTTCCATCAGCAAAGCTAGTAATTATTAAGCACTCAACCACAAGAATCTGCACTTTGGCTTCTGCTAAGCTTTGTACTTCTCTCCTTTGTAAACACTGGAAATGCTCAGTTTTTCCAAAGTGCAATGTAGTTATGAGGTGTCTCACAGTGCTCCCTCCTCCTGGGCTCTCTGGAGAGGCAAAGTTAGAACCAAAGTACATTTCCTCTAGGCAATTTTGGCTGGCAGCCGGCGGGCTCGTGGTGGGGGGATCTGACTCAGCCTGCCCTCCCACCAACAACCCTTGATCATGAGGTTTCACTGATCCTCCCCTTTCTCCTGGAAAAGTGCCCTGCCCACCTCCTCCTGAAACACTCAACAACTGACACACAGCAGGGGAGAGAAGCTGTGAAGAACCCAGTGAAATGCAAATAAGATACTCAGGCCTACCTTCGACTTTTTTGAAGCCATAGCGTTTCCCCGGGCTGCGGCCACCCAGGTTTTTTGAGCTCCCCCCACTTTTCTTAGAAGCCCATCTGACAGCAACCAGGCTGGTATGGTGAGTGGTTAGAACTAGGTAAGGAGAAAGAACAACATCAGCTGGAAAAAATATCATATGTAATTCCTTCTGTCACATGTAAGGATATCAGTTAAGACAGGTTTTAAAATGAAAGGCAAAAGAAAGCCCTGGGAGAAACAAAAAGTACTTCCAAGATAAATTAGACCAAAATGGCCTAAGTTCCTTGAAAAAAGGCCACATCTCAAGTGCTGCTGCTGCTGCCTAGGTAAGAATAAAACTCTGAGCAACCATGTTAAATGATGTGCACAAATTTCTGTTTCATTCTTGTAAAATGCAGCACAGATGTCATTGGTTGCTGTGGATTGCTCTTACAGTGCTTTGAGAAAAGATGGGTTGTGATTTGTTTCAGTTTCCTCTTTGACCAAATGGCATTTACTTACACAGTTACATCCTGAAATCTTACAAATGAGCAGACTCCAATTCTGGAAAATACATAAACATTTATGACCAGCCAGAAACAGTCTGAGGAGTATCCAGGAGTATAAAGGTTGGACTTGCTGGTATTGGAAGTCTTTTCCAACCTTAATGATTCTGTAATTCTATGATTAAAGGCTCTAAGAAGGAATGTAGAGCCCTGGGAATGGCAAAAAGGGAGTCTGGAGCAGAGTTTTTTTCATTAATCCTCCCAGTTTAAGGGAAGTGTTTAAGCTTGAAGAGGGCTTGCAGCAACCTGGTCTAGTGAAAGGTGTCCCTTCCCATGGCAGGGGGTAGGAACGGGGGGATCTTTAAGTTCTCTCCCAACCCAAATCATCATTATCTTAAAAATCTCTTCTGTACCATCTCTTATGCAGGTAGGAGACAAACTTAATTTTTCTGAATCCCTCTAGCCAATTAAGCAGCAGGCTAGTCCAGAACAGTGGTTATCTTGTTTCCTCAACCTGAGCAAAACCGCTATTTAACTAAATTAAATCATCAAGGATACTCAGTGAGCTGGAAATGTCCCACGACTGGAAGTGTTCAAGCACAGGCTGGATGGGGCTTACTGCAACCTGCTCTAATGGAAGGCATCTCTGCCCATGGCAGGTTCCTTCCAACCCAAACCTGTCCATAATTCTAAGCAATACTGTTGAGGAAAGGGTACAAAACCCCATTAATTTCAGGACATTACCCATTAAGTAAAAGCCTCCGAGACGTGACGATTTTCAGGAAATTAGACAAAGACGAAGCATAGCTACAGTTTCACATACACAAACCCACCCATCGCCATCACCACAGCTCCGCCCCAGCGGAGGAAAAAGCGAAAGCCTCGGCCTCGCGCCCTCGGTGGTGACATCCCACCGGGAGCGCGACGTCCCGCGGGGTGATCTCCCTGGGGCACCTTCTCCCGAGCTCATCCCTCCCGCTCCAAGGCCAGACCGCCGCTCCCCACCCCTCAGAGGGTAACGAGCTGCCACGGGCCCTCACTCACACAGCCGTCCCAGCGCCGCCATCTTGATGGCGCCGCTTCCCCGCCTCCACCCGCTGGGAAGGCGACGCTCACGCGCGCCCGCTGGGCGGCAATTGGTCCCGGCGCACGCCCTCGCTAACGTTCGGACCAATCGCCGCCCACTGCGCGCGCCTCCGGGCCAATCAGCGGCCGGCGCGGGCTTTCCCCTCAGGCGGGCGCCGGTGCCCCTGAGGAGACGGGGAGATGGCGGAGAGTGAGTCAGGATCTGAGAGCAGTGAGGAGGAGAATCTGCCCTCCTTCGCCTACCTGCTGCAGCCGTCCCCATGCCTCGGCGAGCCCAGCCGCCCGCGGTCGCCATCTCCTGATCCTGAAGCGGCAGAGGTTGTCAAGATGGTGAGCAGCGAGAGTGAAGAGGGGGATGAGGAGATGATGGACGTTGTCCCTTTGAACGAGAGGATCGAGATGAGTGTGGGAGCGGAGCGTGAGCCTTTCAACCTGGGCGCTGGTGATAAAGGAGAGGCATCTGGGCTTTGTGCTAGTGGTGACCTGATGGCTCCTGGGAGCGAAGGGCTTCGGGAAGACCTGATGTCGTCTGGGGAAGCAGCTTGTGATACTGAGAATGGCACACGCGGTGTTGAGACATCCTCCTGGTGCTCCTTGCCAGTCAACTCTGACAGGCCTAGTAGCCCTCCCGTAAGCAGAGAAAGGCCGGAAACATCGCTCCCTCTCAAGAAGCGACAATATAGTCAGAAGGAACAGGAGGCAATCTGCCAGAATGCGTGGCAGAGAAAGAAGGAGCAAGAAGCAAAGAGGAGGGAGCAGGAGGAGGAGAAAGAGAGGAAGAGAGCCGTTGCCAAGATGCTGAAAGCTCAGCGGCCAGGAGAATGCCAGAAATACATAACAGTGGTGCTAGATCCAGGTAGTTGTCCTCACAGCCTGCAGCTGCCTTGTACTGACTGTTGTCTCCTCTCTCTGGAGGCCTGACCCATGCATCGATTTCAGTCATCTTACAGGTAGAAGGTGGCGAGCAGATCCTTAGTGCTTTGCAGGCTGCCAATTATTCCTGTGTGTTTGAGAACCACGCTGTTCCCTGCAGCATCACCTGGAGGAGAAAGACAGTGACATCACAGGTATGCGAGCAAAATTTTGATGATCTTGTCCTTTTTCTCATGTGTTATTTGCAGTTGTTAATAATTGTATTTAGCAACCCAAGTGAACACCCTCTAATTTCCCTGCTCAGAGGTCTGAGTGGGTGTCTGAGTGAATTCTAAACAGACTGTGGCCTGTTTGTTTTCATATCTGAACAGATGGGAGGAGGAGATGAATGGACAGAAGAACCAAATGTTCTAGTTCTGCTTGGCTTGGAGGAGTTCTTGTCCATGGCTCACAGCTACAAGCAAGTGAGAATGCTTATGACTTTTATGCTCCTGAACATGTCTTGATGTAAAAGCGCTGTTTTGTCATCCCTCTTAGTGGCAGGAAGGTTTTGGTGTGGGAGGAATGCAGGGTTTCACTGAAACAGAAATCTGGGTGTAGAAGCCATTAATGGGCTGTGTAATGTACAGTTCTGACAAGCTTTCTTTGCTAGTTAAAATTTTTCACACATTCCTCTGAAGGCTTACATTGTCACATCAAGTGGGTTTATTTTTTTTTCGTTCTTTCTGCTCTAACTTTACATGGGATCAAGTACTGCCTGCTTGCCCTGAAGAGCAAGACTCATCTGCAGACCTACGAGCAGGGCAATAATTTGCTGTGCTTTTCTGTATATCTCAAAATGGTTTAACTCCTTATTTTTCCCATTCATCTTTGTAGAATGCTGATGGCTGTGCAGAAAAGCAGAAGGAGACCCTGCAGAGCTATGTAGTTCATATGATGGAGAAAATGCCTGGGAGAATTCTGGCTTTGGCAGTGGTTGGAGTAGAAAATTATTTCAGGTCAGACTTCTTCCCTCCAAATGTTTCTGTGTTTTCTTTGGCCTTGAAAATGCCATGTGTGTTTATGTTAATTCCATCTAGCAAAGACTGGAGTATAAGAGGTATTCCCAGAACTGCTCTACCACTTTTTATACACCAAGTCCATCCAGACTGTCACCCCAGTCTTACTTTACTCTTTTTAGGTCTCTCCAAGTTCAGCCAAAACAAAGGCTGCGACAGACAGCAGCGAGTGGGAATCAAGAGAAACGGGGAAAAAGGAGAAAAAAAGAGGTTAAGGATTCTGGCTTGGACTTATCCAGAATGGATGTGAAAGAAGTGAGTTCTTTTAAAACGCGTGCAAGCATCATCTGGGATCTCCCAGTGTCTGAACATTTGACCCAGTCACACAATTTTTTGAATGGGAGTATGTGGCTTTCGTTATTCATTAGTCCACCAGTCTGTGGACAGAGCTCTGTGGGTTCAGCTCCCCCTGCTCAGTCCTGTACCTGTTCCCACACAGACTGATGTGTCTCATTCACCTGGATACTGATGTCAGTCTCAGCATCTCTTGCCCTTCATGGCCCATTGGCAAAGCCTGCTGGTCTTGGCCTGTTCGTAACAGGAGCCACTGAGGAGCTGAAGCAGCTCAGAGGACACTGAGGTGGTATTAACTGTCAGGAGACAGACTGCCCCTAAATACTTCAATCTCTTAAGTTAACTGCTTCCAAAATGGAGAGAGAGTGAAGGTTCTTGTCCTACAGCAGGACGTTTGTGACCCTTTTCTGCTTCAGGCAAATATGGAATTTGATACAACAAGACTGATTGTGCCATTTGTTTTTCCCAATGGTGATACAGGCCCTGGTGGATCTGCAGCTGAGTACACAAGTCCAAATCAGCATTTTTGAGAGCAGTGAGGAGCTTGGGGAATATGCCACTATGTTCACAAAAGCTGTGGCTGAGGCACCATACAAGTGAGTAAGCAGAGTAAGTTTGGTCCTACCTTTGGAGAGGCTGCACTTTAAGCTACTGGGAAGGAATAGCAGGTACAACACAGGGTATAATGGTTCTTAAAGGTGCAGGTGACACAGCATCTGCTGTTACAGCTCCTTCAACACAGGACTTGTTCATGAAATTGATGTCCTGCTCACAGAGGGATCAGGACAGATGCTGGTTTGGGTTGGAATGGACCTTAAAGATCACCTAATCCAACCCCCTTCCATGGGCAGGGACATCTTCCACTACACTGGTTTGCTTAGTGCTCCATCCAACCTGGCACTGAACACTTACAGGGACGGGGTATCCACAACTCCTTTGGGTATCTGCAACTCCTTTGAGCAATTAGTTCTGGTGCCTCAGCACCTTCAGGTTTCACACTGGAGCCTTGACATCAAGTAGAGCACTTGTTCTGAGCCAGATTTTTGGAGTGGGAAGGGAATGCAAGTAGGGTTGGCTGTTAGAGTGCCAGCTTTTCTTCTTCAGTGTGTAACGCAGAGACATGCCTGAGAATGAACCACTTGACTCTTTCCATTGATAAGGGAGGACAGCAGCTTGTTGCACAATGATAGCTAAGAAAGCCATCTTGTGCAGTCTCACACAATCCTGGCATTCCTATCACAGCAGCTGCTGGATTTCCATGTCAGCCATGACAAGAGATGAGCTGTCATTAAAAATGACATCTAAAAGTGTTTTGTTATGGTTGACAGCCAGAAGGTGAATTCTTGTTTACCACTTTGTCTGCAAGTTGGCTTGTGTCAGGATTGCTGCTGAGTACAGGATTGTTTCTTTTTCTGGAGCAATCTGGGTCTGAAAGAAATTGGTAGTGCATGTAAAGAAAAGAGGGTCAAATTATTCATGTTTCTTTTGATGCCAGTTGTGTCTCTGACAGCTCAAGTGAGGGGTGGCGCTCTGGCTCTGTGACAACAGATGGCAGGGACAGGATTTTCTTCACAGCCTCATTGTCTCATTTGCTTCCTCATTCCTTGTTCTCCCTAGGCGAGAGCGAGAGAACACAGGGTTCTCCTTCTACTTGGAGAAGGACTGTTGCAAAGGGGTGAAGGTGGATCCTTCTGGAAAGGGCCTCTTGAAAGTATGGAAGAGGCAGATACAGCAATTTAACCGTGTCAGCTCTGAGATGGCTGAGGCTATCGTGTCTGCCTACCCTTCTCCTCAGCTTCTGATCCAGGTGAGGATGCCTCAGGGATACCCAGCACTGTGTGCAGGCAGCCAGTTCACGCAGGGAGCGGAAGAAGTAATTGAATCACTACTAAATTAGACAGTGATTCTGCACTGCGGTTCAGTAGGTTAGCAAAGGAACTGATTCCTTGGATGGATGCCAAGGATACTATTCTGGCTTCCCACTGAGGGTGCAGCACTGGCTCCACTCTCCAAGCTCACAGATGGGACTTGGGCAGGGACCAAGAGAAAAATGAGTGGACACTGTGGAAGGGCAGAGCAGGTACAGGTGCATAGCTTTGACTGGGTTTTTGAGCAATGGATGCAAGTGGGTGATGCCATTGTTGCTTTTGTGTTGCTTTTAGGCCTATGAGAGATGCTCCTCGGACCAGGAGCGGGAGAACATGCTGGCCAATATCCCTGTGCACCGTGGGGAGGGGGTGACGGCCACCTCCCGGCGCATCGGGCCGGAGCTGTCCCGACGCATCTATCTGCAGATGACATCCCACGATCCCGACCTCTCTCTGGATTTTACCGGGTAGCACAGGGAAAAAGGGGTTGTACTGTTTGTTCAGTTAAGTGTTCAGGTTTGCATTTCACTGGGTAGCTCCAGGGAATAAGGGTTTTTACCATTTGTCTGGTCAAGTTTTCAGTTTTCTTCTGTGAAGAAGTGCTTAGATAACACTCACTGATCCTTGTTTAAAGACTTGAAACGCATTTAGACTTTATTGTAGAAGGAAAAAAGTTGGATAAAGTTGCTGAATAGCAAGAATTTACACAAGAAAGGTGGTGAACATCTTCCCTAAGCACACGAGTTGCACACAACTTATAGTACTGATGTTGCTTTATTTGTCTTTCTATGAAATAAATAATTCTGAAGAATAACCTTTGCTTCTTAACATGGTGTCATGAATATAGACAGGTATGTCCTCTATTGAAAGAAATAATTCCTGTTGCTCTCCTGAACTGCAAGGACTTACCTTCTCCCTCTTTTGGGACAAATCCTGAAGCTAGAGCAACATGGTGCTCCCCCCAGCACCTGCTCCAGTGAGGTGAAAGAAGTTTACCTCACAAAACAGCCTCTCGTTGTTCCGCTGCAGCAGATGGGAATGAGTAAGACTAATTTTCAGATAGAAGTTTAGAGTGCTCTGATTCAGTCTCCAGACGGCTTAATCTAGAGAAGGTCTTGAAATCTGATTATATGTGCTGGAATTATGAGGTCTAAACAGTTGGCAGAAAAAGCTTCCTTTTAATTAGATTGGGGACCACAGCCTGTCCGTGCAGCCATCAGCACTTGTGTGCACACAAGGACAGTTGAGGGTTTTTGTAACAGCATTGCTGAGTGCTCAGAGAATTAAACTGCATCCCATGTGTGGAAGTTAACTCTTTGGAACCCTGCTGCCACCAGTGGAAAAATCCCTACCTGCCCTGCTTGTTCCAGGCATCCAGCTGGAGCCCTGACCTGACCAGAAGTGCTGTTGACCTGAATCTATAAATGTGTAAACCCATGCTCACCAACCTATGCAACACTCATCTGGATGTTGGCAGGAAGGGCTGCATGGAAGAAACATTGCTTTAGATGCTGTTTGTAATTTTCATTAACATTTCTGGATAGAGAGTAAGGACATTTTAAAGAATGGGATGAGTTAGACACCCAAAGCAGAGCTTAAAGGTGTTTGAGGGAAGCTTTGAAAACATGCACCCTCCTAAGGCAGAGGCAGCCCTTCCTTCCTTTAATCTGATACTTGTGCTGCTGATCTCCTGTGTGATATTCAGGGAACCACAATCTTATCATCAGCTTACAGAAAAATGAAGGTTTACTGCTGTGATGGTTTCCCCATAGCACTGCTCCTGGCAGCAATAATCCCAGGTGTGACAAGAGGGAAGATTCTGGAGACCAGTGTAGAATGTCTCAGTGGAGTCTGTAGCACAGATATTCTCTGAAACTTGCACTTCATTTTAAGTACTCACAAAGCCCTTAAGGGTATGAAAAAATTCTGCTTGATGGAAGGAAATTTTAAAATTAATTATTTTAAATAATTTTAAAGGAAATTCTAAATAAATCACAGACCATTGCAGAGGTGAGTTTTCCTCTTGAGTGCAAACCACCAAACCTCCCAGCCTTTCCCCAGCCCCGAGACGTCCCCTTTCCTGCCAGCAGTGCTCCCACAGTGCCACCCAGTGCTGCTTCTGCAGCTGCAGCAGGCAGGAATAGTCCCACGTACTTGGAAATCATTTGTGGCTGTTCCTAAAAGGCCTAATTAAAATGAAAGTTATGTTAACAACAAACATCCAGTTCAGACAAATTGCTGTGAAAACTGTTGTATTGAAAATTTTCAGCTTCTTTCAATAGCACATCAGCCTCTTTGCTCCAACATAGGGATGCACAGCCATCCTACATGCCTGTAATTGGTCCTGGAGTGGGGCCTTAGTGTATTATTCCCATACAGCCATACCACCAGTTTTAGCACAAACAGAAAAGAGAGCAAGGAACGGATATGTATGAAAAACCTTCCACCTCTAGCTCAGAGCTACAGCTGTCTGACCCAGATGATGCGAGGGCTGCTTGTTCCCATTCCTATAGACTGTCAGCTTCCTGTACCTCACAATCCTGGTGGACACAACTTGGAGGCAAGGAGTGGTAACAAGTTTAGGTTAACGTGCACAATTAATGGGAGTTACAGGCCGACTGAGAGACATGCACAACAAAGATAGTTTGAACAATAGCTCTGCTCTGTGGAGTGGACCAGCAAACCAACGCTGACTGGTTCAAAGCAGTTTCATCAGAACACAATTCCATAGGAATTCTGGCTGCGTAGATGGCGGAAGGAGATGCTGACGAAGCAAGTGCCCATCCAGGACAATCACTGGTGCGAGTTGTGCTGTAGCATGTTCTGCAGGGTTTTGTGGTTCTGCAGAGCAGCCACCACATCCTCGTAGAGGGTGTTCACGCTGATGCAGAGAGGTTGATGCTGCAGCTCTGTCAGCTTGCAGGCAGCCAGAGTACAGAGGATGCAGAACAGCACAAAGAGCAGGACCCTCAGCACTGACCGCGACCACGAGGGCTTGTGCCGGGGGGGCTGAGGGGGACGGGAGCTGGAGGCTGGCTCTGCAGTGAGAACGGGAATAGGACAGGATGTGAGGAATTAGTCAACTCTAACAGGCTATGCTCACAAACAAACTGTTCAGGTAAAATACTTAATCCTCTGCTGCAGTTGGCTTTTGGTGTGAATTATCATCACTTAGCTCTGATAAATAAGTAGATGTGCAGGATGTAACTGCTTGGGATGAAAAGTTTCAGGTCCAGTTTCACAGGCAGCAGTGCAGAGGGTGTAAAACACCTCTGTGTTGCACAAGATCTGATTGTGCAAATGTAGCTCAGTAGACTTAAGAAAAAAATGAGTGGAGGGAAGTTCTCATTAGGAACAGCTGGAGAACTTCCTGACTTGTATCTCACAGTTCATGGGAACACAGGAAAAGGGGAAAAGGGCACAGCAGCAGAGTTTATCAGAACTTCTATAAGTTCCACCCTACCCTCTCCCAGCGTCTCCCAGTACCTGGGCTGCATGAAAACAATTCTGGCAGCATCACAATCTGATGACAATGAAACCTGACACAATCCCACCCAAAATGGACACTACTTACTTCGGGTGTGCACTGTTTCCTTTTTAGTTTTCTTTTCCATCTCCTGTTTTGCAGCTTTCTGAGCATCGTACTCCCGCCTTCTGCGCTCCTTTTCCTCTGCCTTCTCTCGCTTCCGCAGTTCTCTCTCCAGAGCCTCCTTTGCTCGCTGTTCTGCTTCACGCTTCTTCTCCATTTCTGGGGGTTAACAGCAAGTTTTTCCCTTTTATCACTGCCATTTTCCTTATTAACTCATTATCCCAACTGGAATGAGGAAACCAATTAAACAACTATCCTCTTTTTATAATTTTATTTAGCATTACATACCTTGCATTTTGCTGTGCTTTTCTTTCATGTTTTATAGGTAACCTATAGCACATTCCATCTAGAGATTTAACTATTCCTCAGGCCAAGAAATCACACACACTACACCCCTGCTATACTTCTCCCTCCAGCCCTTTTACCCTACTATTCCCTGAGTACTTTGGGTTTGGGTGGCTAAAAGTATGTGTTAGATGGCAATTTATTAGATGGCGATCAGAATGTTTGGGTGTGTTAGACAATCCAAGAGCAGTCCTCAGCAGACAGCACGTGGGGGCTCCTTGTCCCTACCTCTCTCTGCCTGGAGTTTCCGCTGCCGTTGTCGATCTTGCTCAGACTGGATCGCTTTCATGTGCTGCAGTACCTTAAATAGCCAAGAAAACAACCTGAGAGCTGTGCAGAAGCCTAGTGGCACAGTCAGTTCAGAACAGAACAGATGGAGTGTGGCTGAGGACAGGCAGCTGGGGCTGACCCTCAACCCTCACCTATCCCTACAGCTAGGGCTCTGAAAAGAACTCACAACTTACGTGAGTCTCTGTTGTTAAAAAACAAATCTCACTAAAAACAAACATGGCAAACTGGTGCTCACTGATACAGAGGATCACAGAACATTTCTATTTATGTTTGCCAGAACTTCTCCAGAGGTTTTTGTACTATCAGCACAGGCATGGATTACTATGTCTGATTATGCCTCCACTTTCTTGGCAACCAGCATTTAATCCTCTCTTAACTCCACGAATGGAGAAGCATCCTCCTCAGCCAGGTGTTTGCTCTCCACAGGCAACACAGTAGGGGAGTCAGTGCAGTGGACCTGCACCTCACTCCCTGAAGAAACTTCAGGCTCCTGCAGCAGCTGCCCAGCTTGCTAAGCAAGCAGAGGAAGAATCACTGGCAAAGCCATGAAAGGAAAAAAAAATAGAATAAAACCAGACTCCTTACCTTGACAGCAGCCTGCTTACACTGCTTCTCATCCAGACAATCTCCTGCCACTTTAGCCAGAACAGGATCCAGGGGATTGTCCTTCAGATCCAGCCACTTCAGGTTCTGCAAAAAGGCACAACAAAGGGGAGGCTGTAATTATTTGGAAGTCTTGGAATTATTTAAGAGAGCCAAAGCAGAAGCAAAGAAGTGCTTAGTTTTCACATTAATGAAACAGATACAGAAGATGAGCAGAGATGTTTTCAATACACTGAGAGGATTTTCACTGAGCTGCAGTGCAGACCCAGCTGAATTTTGGAATGGGTAGTCAGCAGGATGGATGCTTTACCAGAGAAATCAACTTGAGCAGGATCACAAGACCCTGGGCTGCATCCCAAAGCTTTACGTAACTGCCCAGCAAACAGTTTTACCTTGAGCTGTGCAAAGCTGACTGGCAGGGTCACCAAGCGGTTGTTCAGAAGGTCCAGGTGCTGCAGATTGACCAGGCGGCCAAAGTCCAAGGGCAGCTGTTGCAACCGATTTTTACTCAAATCCAGTTTCACCAGATGCATCAAACTGCAGAAGTCTGACTAAAACCCAAGCAAAGAAAACCCAGAGAAAGCTGGTCATTACTTTTATGGAACAACCTAAGTGGGAAGTAAGTGGAGACAGCCTGCAACTCACACCAGGCACAAATCCTTGACTTACTACAGGACTGTGATGGAGGAAAATCACTCTCCTCCTTCGTCTTGGAAGATGGAGGTGAGACACAATGGGACAGATATGACAGACTGAGAAGGTTATGGATGACAATATGACAGGAACAAACCCAAGCCTCCACTGCTGATGAAACTCCTCTGTATTCACCTGGGGATGCTCTGGAAGGAATGCACTGCAATCTTCACACAGTTCAACCCTGTACTCTCTCCTGCCTCAGCCAAACCCACTGCCAGCACTGACCTGTCACTGAAAACTGAGTCATTCAGCCACCCCAGGGCAGCGAAAGTGCCAGTTCCACAGTGCCTGGTGAGCCTCTACTGAAGCACCAGCTATCTTTCCAAATATCGCCCAGCAGACTCATCCCCGTGGAGGCTCTCTAGCACCTTACCGGCAAGGAAATGAGGTTGTTACAGGACAAATCCAAGACAGTAGCTTTCGGAAGAGCGGCCTGAAAAACAAATAAGGCACTGAATGACCATAGACGTTCACCCGATCCCTCTGACACCTGCTCTGCTTCGGCCTCTGCGGTTTCTCCCGCGTCAGTCCGTCCATCCCCCGCGGCTGCTCCGAGGTCACGTCATCTCCGGATCCATCTCTGTGTTCGAAAAGGTTCTTATTCCCAGGACAGCAGTGACTAGCGGCTGCCGGGCCCGCGGGACACAGAACCACGCTGCTTTAAATACCTGCAGGCCAGGTCACAAGCCCCCAGCACATCCGGCTCCCCTACGCTGCCCCTTCCCGGGAACCGGGAGCCGGTCCCCACTCCTGCCGGGGAGCCTACGGCCGGAGACTCACCAACTCCCGCACCGGCACCTCATTCAGGTCGCAGAGGCTCAGGTCCAGCTCGTTCCCGTCCAGCTTGTCCTTCAGGCTGAGCCCCTTCCCGCTGCCCCGCGACATGGCTCCGCCGGCGGCTGCCCACGGGGGATGCGGCTCGGCACGGGGAGGCGGCGCGGCTCGGCTCGGAGCGGCTCAGCGCGGCTCAGCACGGCCCAGCCCGTCCCGTCCCGGCGTGGCACGGCCCGGCCCCGCCACCCACTTCCGCGGCCACGTCCGCGCGGGCCCCGCCAGCCCCGCCGCGGGGCCGAGCGCGCCCGCTGCCGGCCCGGAGCGGGGCCGCAAAACGCCTAGCGATCGTCTTAAGAAAGGATGGCATCTGATGTTTGATCTCTGCGTGCTTTCAAACCTAAGCAAAAAGAAAGGAGATTTAATCCCCCAAGCAGACAGCAGCTAATAAGCTCTAAGCGCTGTCTTGAAGGACGAATTACTTGTTGGTAGAATTGTCTTGTTAAGGTTTAAGGCTTGATCCGATGATCTCAGATTTAATGGGAGGTTAACAAAGCTTGAGAAGAAGGATGTGCTACTGATAGCAGGAACAAGGAATGCAGGGTTTATGGGCTACAAGGACATTATGCAGAATCCCCAAGATAAGGAAGAAACTAATAATGCTAACTCAGCAATTGGGTTGAATCAGCTCCAAGCAGGTAAAAGGTAGTTCTGTCAGGGGCAGATTGTGACCACCTACTCATGGCCACAGACCCAAGAAACCCACCAACCCAAAAGAAGAGAAAGACCAAGACTGTGGACTAATTAG